CACACACACACACACACACACACACACACACACACACACACACACACACACACACTGAACAGAAACTAAAGCATTGATTTAAGCTAGCAGGAACAAAAGGCTTCCTGTTTTTTTTCTCTCTCTCTTACCTCTGTTCCTCTCAGGTCTCGGGGAACATATACATCCTCTGTCATTTGCACCGTCAAGCCGAAGTCCACCAGCACCGCCTTGTCCGACATCAGGACGATGTTGCTGGCTGAGGGGGAAAAGAAAACGCGTGACTCGGGTGGATAGACAAATGGAAAGTGGACAGGATTGTCAAGGGTTTGGCTTTGCTGTGCAGGCCAGTGCGTTTGAGTTCATTTGCATTTATTAAAAATTATAAATTAAACTCTTTCTTCCTTGTAATGTGTTTACTTTCGTTGAGAATGTAAAAAATGTTGTAGGCTATGTAAAATATGTTGACTATGTCACGAGGATGTAGTTACAGACATTAGAGAAATATTATGGGAGAGCATTTCCTGAAAACGGTTAAGTGATTTTAAATATGCTGATTCCAGTTTATAATTGTCATGATTCTCTGCAGCTGTCASAGGGACGTGCTGGCTGTTATAAATAAGGATTGGGTCTGTCTGAGTGTGTGCACGAGGAAGACTGCTGGAATTTCCAGCCTGTAAAAAGCCTCTGGGCCATGAGAGTGGAATTCTGTGCTCAGACAGCTCTGCTGGAGTCAAACCTAGTTTGCATCAAGTTTCAGCTTACTTTGGTGATTTGCTATCAGACTTCTATGTGAGCTGGCAGACTGAAGATTTTTTTTATATAAAGCACAAAAACACCTATTCACTCTCAGTAAGATTTATCATGCCTGTTTGGTTTGTGGTTGTTCTCTGTGATTCACACTGTTTACAGGAACACTACCTGCCTGTGACCTACACTAGAGAAGAACATGTGCACCGTTGCACAAATGTTTTCCTGTTTGCACAAGCTTGGGCTGTTTAGCCCTTTGAATCAACACAAATCAAACGAAAGGCTTAGCCTTCCTTAAATGAAYGCTTAACACCGGCTGCCTTTCATACCAGAGTTTTGGACTAAGATCATCTCAKAGMTGTTTGGGTCAAACCTTGAAAATGACATCATGCGACATATCACGTGAATTTTGAAAGAGGTCGCGATAACTATGACAGCCAGTCTTGTAGAGTTCCATTAAAATACATCCAGAGGTTCAGGAGATATTTTGCTTACAGACACACAGACACGCACGGCATGGAGAAAAAAAAAGACTATCTTTACGTTTGATGTCATGGTGGATGACGTTGTGCGAGTGCAGGTACTCCAGGCCCCGCAGGACCTGCTTGGCCACCCAGATGATCTCAAACTCCCTCATGGGTCCGCAGCTGTCCAGCTTCTCCAAGACAGATCCGCCTTCACCGGCTTCCATGAACAAGTGGACGTTCTGGTCCCAGAGCACGGCGCCGTACAGCTCGGCGATATTCTCGTGGCGCAAGCAAGCCTGGAACTCCACGTCCGCCGCCTTAAAGTTCTCTAAGGGGATCTGTGAGGAGGGTTATCAGATCKAAATAAATATGATAACACCAACTGACCAAACGTTCCCTTTACTCACAGTCAAATTACCTCTTGCAAATATAACACACAGCTGTCACAGTAAAGTCTTAATCCTCCTGTTGCCCTTTGGTTAAATGGACTCATGCTTCAATGGTAAGACTGGGCCAAGGACATCATTGTTAATTATATCTTGAGTCAAAAAAAAAAGATTTTTAATTTCTAAAAAGTAACTCTTTCCACTAAAATATCCAGTTTCATTTGATTTGAAGTTTAGGTTTTACCTCAGTTGATGAATGGCCTTACTTTTGGTCAGACCTCATCATTACTTTCAGTTTGCATATTAAGCTGAGTTTGCTTATTTAAGGGAGCAAAGCTAACTTTGTTCCTGTTACCAGTCTTTACTGGAAGCTGATGCAAGTAGTTGCTAACTGGAACTTTTATTTAACAGAATTGCAGCTAGGATGCTAGCGGTACTGTAAGGATAATAGATGCTAAATTGCTCGCATCCTTGAGGGTCCACAATCAATAATACTTATTTAATGCAAGGAAAAATTAATATTTAGAGATTTTCATTGTGGATTCTGTTAGTTTTTTGCATATTGGTTAAGCTAACTGGCTGCTAGCTGTAGCTATGTTTGTTTTATTTATGTCACTGCTTTTAATGAAATGGTTGTTGTTAATAGGCCTATTCCACAGAAGACATGTTGACCTGAGTGAGAACTAGGGAAGGCGTGGGGTGTTTAGTGTGGGCTGCATTCCACTCCTGCAGAGTGTTCTGTTATAAACATTTATGAGAAGACTTTTGTCTTATTGGAAAACAGCTTTCCCTTCTCTTCTCTTCAAAGTTCAAATGTCTGCCAAGAAACAGCCCTGTTACCGGGCACACGTTGTGAACTGGTTCCAGGAAGACTTGGCAGTGTGTACACATGCTGTCACATTCCAGGGAACTGGAACTACTTCTTCCTGCTTCGAAATCATGTATGGAAGAGTAAACACACAGAACCTCCTGACACTTGCTCAGCACCACCACCACCAAACACACGCAAGTTTATACTTCTGTCTTGATTTATGACACATAAACCCTGGCCCTAACCCAAGCCTAACACTAACCCACCCTGAAATCAGACCTTAGCCCTAACCCTCACCTAGAAACTCAAATTTTTATTTTACTTTTATGTTATTATGACCAGGATTTGGTCTTTATAAGGATGTGTGCACCTGAAAAGGTAGGTGATTTTAGCAGAAAGGGTTATAAAAAGGTAGGAAAACAAAGACACACACAAGTTTGCATTTCTATCCTTATTAGGACACTGTAAGCTATTGTCCTGATGCAATAATGCAGGTAGGAAAAAACCAAACTGAATAGGTCCTCTGGACAAATTCTTCCCTTTTTTTTTTTCAAAAAGAAGAACCCATCCAGGGGACCTATTCACTTTGAATGAATTGAATTTTTTTTCTTTTTTCTTTTTTCCCCCCAATTATTATTGCTTTAAA